GGGGGGGGGGGGAAAGTGAGGAATTAATACAAGTTATTGGCAATATTTGGTCTTAACAGTTATTGGCAGGCCTATTATTGTTGGCATTCAAGAATATAAAAGGTTCTGGATGATCATGCTAGAGTAAGTTGAATGTTCACACTACTATAAAGTCAAAGCGTGGGGTGGGATACGGAACAAAACACTAGAAAGGAAAATTATGATATACGATGTGATCTAATATGGCCCAATGCTATTTGGGTTACCATGATTGTCTACGCCACTCATATATCAAGCATCTAGAATAGAGAACTTTTGGTATAAATGGAATAATAATCTAAAATTATTGAGGTGCAAGGTGTTTTTTTGGGTTGGCCCGGATTGTAGTCAATCAATACTTGCATCAAGACAAAAAGGTATAGAGGTGAAGTCACTAACATTCTTCAACAGGAAAACTAGCTAGTGGATAATCGTATTCGATCTATATCACCACATTAATTATAGTAACCACACAAACTTTCGTTCCATCTTTTATATATTGTTATTTTCTCCATCAATTGTGAATCTGTGATTTGTCATGACTCATCTTCAACATTTATAAAGCAGTCCTTGTGTATAGTTTACACATCCCAACATGGATATCTTTTGTTGGTTTCCCATTGAAATAGAGGGTGAACTTTATTCAAGAGTAGCTGAGGGAGAATGTGCCATTTTCTGTGGCGCAAATCCAATTAAAAAATTGAACCATTGACGTGAAAAGTGTGTGCTTATGTTATTGCCATATGCGTTTTGGTGAGGCAAAGATGAAATACGAGTAGAAATTACAATAAAGTATGCATTCTTGAAGTACAGATATTCCTGATATGATGAAGTGATGGTCCTTAATAAAGATAGTTGGATTAAATATATTCTATGTAGTGGAAGTGTGGGACAATCAATTTCACTCAACAAACTTACTTTTTTGTGATGCATAAATTAATCAAAAAGCCTTATAAGACATCGTTGGTACAATTCTTGGCAGACATTTTAGAGAATCGGTTACTTCCACAATAACAAAGTCTGGCTTTGCGAAAGTACAGTCACTTCACAAGAATCACATTAGCCATTAAAAATAACAGGAAATGAAATATGCCAAATTTTAGGTCAATAGCCTTGTTTTACTTTGCATTTAATTAGCCTTAAAATTATATTTTTATTTCACTTAATAATTTATATTTTATAAATTTTTAATGAACTAATCATTAATTTAAAAATTCTTAATATATAATAAATTAAGTTTGTAAATTTTTTTAAAAAATTAAATTATTTAATATTTCATTTGATTCAAATTGATAGATAATCATATATGTGGGTGTATAATTGTAAGAAAAAAATCTCGTTGAATGCCAAAGCAACCAAATATTATTTTTTTTATTTTTGTTTAAAAATGCGTGAAGTTTTGTTTATAATGAGAGAAATGGCATTTCAAATACACATATTTGGTGGTCTAGTCTCTTTTTAAAAGTTCTAAAATAGGCTAAAATAAATTTTTGGTCCCTCATTTAATTTGATTTTAGATTTCAATTTGATTCTTTAAGTTTAAAAAACTCCACTTTGACCTTTAAATTATCTTTATTAATCAAATTGGTTCTTGATTATTTTTTTACCTTAACTTTATGTAATATCTTTATGGATCATCACATGTCACTAAATTAACTAAATTAGTATAATAATTTGACAAAAGGACTAATTTGATCGAATGAAGATGCTTTACGTGACTAAATTAAAATTAACATAAGAAAATTCTATTTTTAATCTTTAAAATGATTAAAGGTGTGTTGTGCTTTTTCAATGAGATTTTTTTATTCACAAGAATTAATATTCAAACGTCAAGGGATCAGACTCCACTTTCAACCAAACATTTGTTACTCATAAATTTGATTTTATGCAATTTAATTTTTTTAAATAAAATAATTAAAAGTAAGTTTCAAGAAAATATATATATTTTTTTTAAATCAATTCAAAAGAAGAAAAAAAATCATGATAAAACATTGTATTTTTCCTTAACTCAACGGAAGTTACATTTTCATTTCCAATTATTTTAGTAACAAAATTAATAGTACGTTAAACTAACCAAACAAACAAATTTCATGTTAAATCCTTCTTACAACCCCACCCATCCAAACTACAACACCATTGTTGGCTTACAGTTTCCTAAAAATATTTATAAGAGAAAGTTTTAGCTTGTAAAAAGAGTCGTTTTATAAATTTTTTTTCTATTTATAAAAGAAAACCTGTACACACAATACGCTTGAGAAAAGATTAAATTTTCAATTTAATTTTTAAAATTAAAAGTGTTAGTTACTTTAGTTTCACTTTATAAAACTTCTGTTTTAAATCTTCATTTTACAAAACATAATTTACTTTAACATTTTTACGTAAAACAATACAAAAGAGTAAGTGCAGTAGCTTTTTATAAAACTAGAAATTAAAATGAAGATTTTATAGCTAGAAGTTAAAGTGATCGACACTTACGATCTCTGGAAAATGAAATAAGAGTTCATTATTCCTTGTCTAATATTCCAAGTTCCAAAACAATGAGAATGGTATCTAGTTTTAACAAAATTAAACTCCTTTCCCAACAGTTTTTGACGTAACGTAGACCACGGTCACTCTTTATGATCGCATGCAATTGAGAAGCAATATTTACACCAACAAAAACTATAAATATATAATTTTCATTTCATCTCCTCGTTATACATTTTTTAACCTTTTTTATGACACTACTTATTACATCCGTCATTTTTTCCTTCTTTCTTTTATATATATTCTTTTTTCACTTCCATATACTCAAATGGTACGGTTGCTAGCACTCTCACACATAATACAATAGATTTAAGTTGTTTTTGAATAACCGTTAATACTCATGCCAAAGCACCCAAACGAAAAAACATGTCTCTAATTAAGTAAATTGAAATAAACGGACATTTGCAATGGTGAAATGTAGAACTAAACATGCACTTAAGATCCTAAATCATAAACTACTAAGATTCTCCTGATGATTAAGAGGAAGAGGTTGGGATAAAAGCATAAAAACCTAAATTTAATTTTTTATCACTGTCTTTTTTGGAATCTTTTCCACAAATTAAAAAAATAAAATTGCCCTTATTCTTTACGCCTCTCTATATGTTACATTCAATTATATGTCACATCTTATATTTTCTCTTTTCCATTTCTTTTATTTTTGTCCCTCTTTTCCCACAGCCAATCAATGAGGTGTGTATATGTCATTTTTTATATAAAGGAGAAGGTAGGGGGGAGGCCAGTTAAAAAGCTTAAAATATAGATTCCGTTTGATCAGAATAATGATTAGTTTGCATGCAAATTTGCGTGACCAATTTCATGGAGACAGGAATTCTAGAGCGCATGATGATGTTGTTTGAGAAAAGAGATGGAGAAGGGAGTGAAAGAAAGATGTAGCAGCAGACCAGGAGGAATGTTGAGAAATGGAAAGAGACCCTCTTTTTGATTGTTGTAATGATGAGTATGTTCACCCCACCAAGCACTAGAGACCAATTAGCATTTTGCCCCAAATTCAAACAGTGAAATGAAATGACAAAAAATAAAGGACCTGCCTTAGCCAATTTTGCTTTCCTTTTCCATTTCACCATCCTTTTCATGTGGGAAGGGAAGACTATGTTGGTGCCCTTTTTCTCCTTGTTGCCTTCGAGGCAATCAACTAGCTAATTCCTTGTTAGCAACCTATCAAATATTCTCTTTTAAAATAATATATATAAAAACATAGTTGTTTTGGATTAACATGTTATAGTACAAAGTATTTATTAACAAATCTTGATAATAAAAAAATTATTAATTACTTTTATTACGTCTCACATTCTAAACATATTTTATTCATCTTAAAATTTGAACTCAAATCTTATTTAAAAAGTCTGAACTCAATTTCATTTAGACTAATAACATATTAGTTAATAATAATTCTTAAGATTTATATACTATATTTCAATCATATCACTAGTCAATATGAGATCTCTAACAATAATTATTATTATTATCAATTAAATATATATATATATATGCAATTTCGCATCTATTATTAAAATAATTGAAAATCACATTGGTGGGATTATAAAAATCTAACAATAATTATAGAGTTCATAATTTACACACATTGTCACAATAAATCTTTGTGTGTTATTAATTAACTAATAATAATTATAATTAGATAACAATTAAAATCTAACTAATAAAAATTATTATAAAAAATAATAATTTTTGATGATGTAATGATTCATAATAAAGTATAAAAAACTGTGTTATCAATTAAATGAAAGGAAAACATGTCAAGAATATCACACTTTTTATATCATTGATTTAGTTACTTATTGTTTGTTACATCATGATTAGATGTATCAAGAATTGCCTATGCATTATTTGAGTCCTCTCAATCAAGAAGTTAAGATTTTCATCAATGATGTGTGACAACTAGTTTTTCTATCTGGTAAAGGTAGATGGAGGTCAACATTCATTTCATCCTCCATGTAACATGTAACATAGCACCATGGGTCACTTTGTTCTTAATGGTCATGCTCAAAAGAACCAATAAATCATTAACCTTATATGAGAGTAGGCTTTTCTTGTCTAGGGGAAAAATGAGATAATTGAGCTCTTAGAATAGATTTTGGAATGAAATCTCATTTAGGATTCCTTTAGACATTACAAATCATAATTGGTTTATCATCATAATCTTCAATTTCACATCCTTTTCATCGTGATATTGGGAATGTTAGGACACCTTTCTCAAATCCTTTTACCTCTATTACCAAGCCCCTCCATTTTCATTATGATCTCTTTAAGTGCCTTTATTTCTTCATAGCATCAACTTGGTGTCATCTAAGTTGATGATAAATAAGTCATTGTGGTCAATCATCTCTTGTAAGAAATAATTATATTGCTCTCAATTCCTAAGATTTGGAGCAACTACTTGTAGAGGAATATGATGGCATTGGTGACCTCTACGAGCACCTCAATGTTTTCTAAGTCTCTCTTCTTTGACAAGGGAGAAAAAGAGTCAACATTTCTAAATCATTTTCTTTGACCATAAAGAAAACAACCCTTAGGTGGTTTTGATCTTTTTCAATCATATCTATCAACACCCTAAGTATAATTAAAAGGTCGATTCACCATTGACTTCTCTCTATGATTATACACTAGGAACTAGATGAATCTCTTAGGAACTACATTGTCAAGCTTATTAGATGGGCAAAGTATGGTTAGAACCTCTTTCCTTAGGTTGAG